TAAGTGACTGTATATGGCCCATGTCACCTAAAGGATGTACTAGATCTTGTTAATTGTGCTGAGGTATGTGTGTGTGTATGCATGAATGTGTTTAATTGTGCTCATGTGCGTGCATTGTTTTTAATTTTTTAATTGTTTAATTATAACTTTTGTCTCTTGTGAATTTTGAATTAATGTAGGTTGTTTGTTTGTTTTTAATTTGTTGTAAGCTGCTTTGAGTTCCAAGCAGGGAAAAAGGTGGGATAGAAATAAAACAGATTGAACAAGAATGTCATAAAATTCTCTCTTTTGCATTCTGGACCCTTCATAAAGACAGAAATGTTTGAATCATGTAATTTATGAATGTGGAAAATATGTTAATTTTACAGATAAATATGTGGCTAAGTTAAATGAATATTTTTCATTTGACTTTTAGACATAGCATAAACTTATTAATACAGTGTGGCTTTGCCATCCACAGGCTTGCCATCTGAAGATTTGAGGATCCGTGGGTGGCAAGCCCTGTTGTCCTAAATGGTAATGTGAGCAGGTGGCTGCACTAGTGGCCGCACACATGGCTTGCTGACATTAGGGACAAGACGTGAGGTCCCACGTTTTTGTCAGATCTGGGGGGTGGGTGTGCGTCTGGAACAGATCCTCCACAGATACAAAGGTCTGACTGTAGCTAGTTCTTAATAGCTACATACAACTTTACATGTTATGAACTTTGACTGTCCCTTACAGCTGTTTTGAAAACCTGCCAACACTGTCCATGAGAGAGGCTTCCAAGAAAATACACGTAGGGCACGGCTGCAAACAGGGTCACATGCTAATGGCCTAAACCAGGGGAAGATGAAGTGTGTGCATGGGTCCATGTGTGGTTTTTCCCATGGCTGCTTTTGTGGCCCTTGATCCCTCTGGACTACCTAGACCATCCCTTGTTTGCCTCCCCCCAAAGCTGAATTTCCTGCTTTCCAGAAGCAGCAATTTACCTTTTCAATAGATTGCATACTGCACAGGAAATACCTGTTTTTCAGAACCAGAAGTGGACTTGCATCCATTTCCAGGTTTGTTTTGTCCCCCACACTCACCATTTTATGACATTTTTGTCAGTCTGTATGTCAGCTGGATGGTCCTAGGGAGTGTGGAGGGGTCAAGAGGCTTGGACGTGCTCCAGTTGGTTCCTGGAGTTGCTACTGTTGCCTGCCCCTACTCTAAGTTAAGCCACTATATCAGGTTTTACTCACCCATGTGCTAACAATTATATTTCTAACAATTATTTCTTTGAAAACTTGAAATTGAATTTTTAAAAATAGTAATGACAAGCTCCTTATTAATGACAAGCTCCACAGGTGCTTCCTATGCACAATTATTTAAGAATAAATCCCACTTGAATTTAATGACACTTATCGCAGAGGTTTGTAAGAAAGAGACTATTAAAAGTGCTGAAATGTTCTTGAATGATATCTTATGAGTTTATGCAGATTTCCACTATTGTACCTGCAGAAATTTAAAGTATACATCAGCTCTGAAATATATTCCTCTGTTTGACTTGTTACAACATATTAGAAAAGACTGCAATTGTATTATACATTTTGCATTTCTTCAAATATAAGGTATAATAACACATAAATCCCTGAATTTGCTTGAATTGGAATGCATATTTCTCTCTCTCTTTTTTTTAGTCTTAAGGAACAAATGAGAGGAAACAATTGGAATTCAGCGCTCACCATATGATTCACAAGCTGTTGACATCTGAGCAGGTCTGATCATGGATTGGCTGGAAGGACTTTTCAAGGTGTGTCTTTCAACAAGAGGATATTTCAGTTTCGAGGATATGTTAGTGGAACATGATAGCTGTTTTGTGTGGTAAGAACTGTTTTGTGTTCTTTGCTATTATTACCCAACACAGCAATCGTTGTTATAAAACTGAGGCAATGGACTAATTATTGTTTGTCACGAAAATCTTTTACTGAGCTAGAGTGTCTGTCTCTGTGTTTTACAGGTTTGGGAGATTTAAAATGTTGCTTTTGGGAGGGAATCTCAGCTAAGACAGTTATTCTACCTTTGAAAACAGGACAGAAAAGAACAAGTCTTCACTTTTTCCTTTCTCATCTTATATATGCTGTAAGGTTTGGGTGGTTCTCTAATAGTAATCTTTTATGAAACTTGTTCTTGTTCACAAATGATGTGAGTTACTGTTCATAATGAAAGTGCATTGTGTTTTAGCAAAGGATTTGAATTGATGGGGAGAACCAGATGGAACACTAAAAAGGGATGTATGGCTTGCTTGGTTGGTTTCATTTATTTACTTTTGAATGAGTCTGTTTAATATTTTCATAAGAAGGCTACAATGAACATATTCTGAAACTGGAACAGCTGTACGTGTAAATACCAACAATTTGTTATAGTTGGAGGAGGATGTAGAACATGAATAAGGCATCTGTATTATACAAGTGGTGTAATGTCTTTTTTTATTGTTTTGACAGTAGCATAGATATAAATCTCACAGTAGTCTTGTTTTTGCTGTTCAAAATGTAAACACAGCATGTAAATGGTTGCAGGAGTTATGCATGATTTACTTTCTGTTGTTGTTGTTGCAAGCTGGTCTTTTCTGTAAGCAAAATTAGAGCACTATTTGTACATCTGTATTACCCAAGGAAACACACTCCAAGAACATGTGACACTGGTCCAAACTGGCAAATGTGAGACTCTTAAGAGTATATGAAGCTATCTTATTGGACCTAATCCAGCTACCCAAGTATTGTCTACTCTGACAGAACACAGTTTGCCAGGGTCTTAGTCAGTGGTCTTTCCCATCATTTCCTACTCAAATCCCTTTTGAAGTGAAAATGCCAGAAATTGAACTTGGGTCAGTCTTCACATCCGCTTCCATTGCCCCAGTGAAGAGAAGTTCATTAATATTTTCAGTAGGAAGACAGATGGCATAGCAGTTTGAGCATTGGACTATGACTCTGGAAACCAGGGTTTGAATCCCAGCTTGGCCATGAAACCCACTGAATGACCTTGGTCAAGTGACATGCTCTCAGCCTCAGGAGAAAGCAATGGCAAACCTCCTCTGAACAAATCTTGCCAAGAAAAACCCGTGATAGGGTAACCTTAGGGTTGCCATATGTCAGAAACGACTTGAAGGCAGACAATAACAAAAAAGGAAGACAGATGTATTTAGCAATGGATTAAACACCTCCTTGGGAAGGTGCCATGCTATCTTTTCACAGATCAGCTATCCCCGTCACAGCACCATAATCTTCTTCTTCAAAGTTCTGGGAAAGGCGATAAGTGATAGGTGCCACAAGGGGATGCTAAAGTGCAACCCAGACTCAAAGGCAGTCCTAAGTAGGCATTCTGTATTCTCAGCAGGAACTCTCACCTTTTGTCTTAAGACTGGGTTAGATGACCAAATGCATTCAATGCAAGTCCACTTTAATGGGACTTATAGTGAATGGGAACGCTTCTACTAATTGGCATGGTTGTGTGTTGCATTTAGATAACATAATTTGCATATCATTTTGAAGAAGTGCCTCCAAGATGCTAAATTGCATTTGGTGGCCATGTTGCAGTTTAGTACAGTATTTGTTGTTGTTGTTAACTGCCTTTCCCTTGGTCTTGACCCATGGCGACCCTATGGATGAGACATCTCCTGCCCCCCCTGTCCTCTACTGCTCTGCCCAGCTCCTGCAAACTCATATTCACAGTCTCTTTAATAAAGTCCATCCATCTACTTCCCTCCACCTTTCCGTACATTATTGTATTTTCCATTGGTTCATGCCTTCTTATGATGTGTCCAAAGTATGACAGTCTAAGGACCTTATCACAC